ATGGGGCTGTTTATGTGTTGTCTTCTCTATTCAGAGGGCCCCTGCCTGTCTTTGCCTAGGGCCACAAGTTTCTTAAATCAGTCCCTGCTAAGTGCTAGCCCCTGGAAGTGAACGTCAACAGCGGGCTATTTCCAGGTTTCGTGTAAAAGGTCTACTGGAACAGGGTGGAGGCTGTTTCACAAGCACACGAGAATGCACAAGTTCACATATTGAGAAATGACCTCTCTAATTAACTAACAGCCCAGGCACCGTTACCCGAAATCCATCCATATTTCACTCTCTGTCTCTTAAATATTAAATCGATTACATTTGGCTGTTGGTGGTTTTCAGAAATATGACATTTTATGCCATTTAACATTATTCTTTTTTTAATGGATTGGTTTTACTCTTCAGAACAAACATGTCATCTGTGCTCGACCAATGCTTCAGAAATAGCTGAGTTTTCTTTCAAATTTAACAAACAAAAAAATAACAGTGGAAATCATGCAAATCTGTATGCATCTGCTATTCTTAGGAAAAAGTACTGCAAGCTCTGACTACCATTACCTATCAGGTTTATCCTGCCATGGAAGTGTCATGGGTGCACTTCCTATGATGCAATACACTTCTGTTAATCTTCATTAACCTCTGGCAGCATGTAACTGGTTAACTGCCATTGACTATGAAGCCATTTACCTGATACAGGTGTCAGTGTAGGCGGAGGAGAACTGAAAGGTGTTTGCTTCCCCTGTTCGCCTGTCTGCCTGATTGAGGGCTCCAGCATCAGCTCAGAATCGATCTTCTCCAGAGGCCTCTGTACCTCAGTTGGCTGTGGAGCTTGAGGGGATTCTGTTCCATCTGGAAGCCAAAGCTACAGTGAAACAAAGAAGAAAGAAAACATTCAGGGTCAGATTTACAACTGCTCCAGCACTTAGCCGCCGACACACGGAAAGGTGTCATTTTCTAATAAACTAAGAGTCTGCTTCAGTGTCAGCCTGTTCTGAGGGTAACAGACAGAAACAATCCTCTAATCTACGTTTTTTTCATCAGTTTGACCAGGCTGCGTTTCGATTCAGCTCAAGACATGAACGCTTGCAGTTTTAACCGCCTCTCATAGTGACACACCGTTTGGACAGGCTCAGCCTGCAGACTGACACGACTAATCACATAACTAACACATAAAAGGCAGGCAGTTACCTGGCTGGGAGTAGGAGGTAAAGAAAACAGCAAGAAAACTCTGTTCAGATTATTTCTATAACGCAAATTCACATCATGTCATCTAAAGGTACTTTACAAAGACGGTTCAACAAGATCATCCGGTCAGACTGGTTCTGATTGGTTCAGCTGGTTTTATATCAAAAGAAAATCTGTTGATTGCATTGACCCATTGACTCTTAAGCAATCCGTCACACTAAACTCCCTTTGAACAGGAAGAAACCTCCAGCAGAACCAGGCTCAGTGTGAGCGGCCATCTGCCGAGGCCCACTGGGGT